CATGCTGATCTCATTGGAGGCAAAACCCAGGCACTTGGGCACACGTGGAGCCCCAGTTAAAACAAAACAAACACAATGATGGGCTTTTTGCTACCCGAGCGGCTCCCCTGCTCCCATCCTTGGCCCACGGGAAGCAAAAACCAGCCACCCAATCACATGTAAAGCCTAGCAAGGGAGAGACTTACCTGAGATGACCCGTGGGGCAGACGAACAGATCTTCTTGGGTGGCACTATATCCCGGACTCCCACTACTAGCCAGCCAGCACAGCAGGAGGGCTCTTCCTGGAGTCTTAGTTGGAATCGAAAGTCGGGCTGGGCCCCACAAGCACCTCCCTTTATAGGGCCTGCCCTGCAGCCAGGTGGCTGATCTCCAGCCAGAGAGCAGCCAGTGAGTCAGCCGCCTTTGCCTGGCAAGTTGATGGTTGGGAGTGGGACTGGGAGGGGAGGGCCACCCACTCCTCGGGCCTGTGCACTGGGCTAAAAATCCCTGTGCTGGGCCCCCAAAATTGCACAGCCCAGCACAGCTTACAGGGAACACTGCTCACAGGGTGTCTGTTGTGGGAAGGGGAAGGGAAAAGATTTTGTAAGCTGCTCTGAGACTCCTCTGGGTAGTGAAGGGTGGGATATAAATCCAATCTCCTCTTCTTCTTCTACACTTGATCACCACTGACCTCTTAAAAACAGAACGGGCCCATTCAATTCTATGACAAAATCTTGCCAGCTTTTTAGGAGACTGCACCTGTCTTCTTTCCTACAGTGGGAAATGATCAGTGCTGTGAGGGCAATAGTTAGGTCTCAAATCTCTGGTAGTAACTGTACCAAAAGACTGGAACTGAAGTGGTCAACAGTCCTGGAGAAAAATGTCCTGGTTCTTTAATTAAGGCTTAATGTGTGAAAATGGGCAGAGGAGGTAAATTACACAGCCAACTTACGGCAACTGCAGAGGGTTTTCAGTGCAAGATAAGCTCAGAGGTGGTTTGCCATTGCCTGTCCCTGTGTAGCCACCTTGGTATTCCTTGGAGGTCTCCCATCCAAATACTGACCAGGGCCAACCCTACTTTGCTTCTGAGATCTGACAAGAGTGGGCTAGCCTGGGCTAGCCAGGTCAGGGCAGGTATATAATATCACCTACCAAATAAGGTCAGTATACATTCCAATCCCAAAGAAGGGCAATGCTAAGGAATGTTCAAACTATTGCACAATTGCACTCATATCACACGCTAGCAAGGTCATGCTCAAGATCCTACAAGCTAGGCTTCAACAGTATGTGGATAGAGAACTGCCAGAAGTACAAGCTGGGTTTCGAAGAGGTAGAGGAACTAGAGATCAAATTGCCAACATTCGCTGGATTATGGAGAAAGCAAGAGAGTACCAGAAAAACATCTACTTCTGCTTCATTGACTATGCTAAAGCCTTTGACTGTGTGGATCACAACAAACTATGGCAGGTCCTTAAAGAGATGGGAGTACCAGACCACCTCACATGTCTCTTGAGAAACCTGTATAAGGGCCAAGAAGCAACAGTTAGAACCGGATATGGAACAACTGATTGGTTCAGCATAGGAAAAGGAGTACAACAAGGATGTATATTGTCACCTTGCTTATTTAATATATATGCAGAGTACATCATGCGAAATGCTGGCCTGGATGAATCACAAGCGGGAATTAAGATTGCTGGGGAAAAGATCAACAACCTCAGATATGCAGACGATACCACTCTAATGGCAGAAAGTGAAGAGGACCTAAAGAGCCTCTTGCTCAGGGTAAAAGAGGAGAGCGCAAAAGTGGGCTTGAAGCTCAACATCAAAAAAACTAAGATCATGGCATCCGGCCCCATCACTCCTTGGCAAATAGAAGGGGAAGCTGTGGAAGTAGTGACAGACTTCACGTTCCTGGGATCCCAGATCACCGCAGACTGTGACTGCAGCCATGAAATTAAAAGACGCCTGCTCCTTGGGAGGAAAGCGATGGCGAACCTAAACAGCATGATAAAAAGTAGAGACATCACCCTGCCAACAAAAATACGCATGGTCCAAGCAATGGTATTCCCAGTAGTCATGTATGGCTGCGAGCGTTGGACTATAAGGAAGGCTGAGCGCCGAAGAATAGATTCTTTTGAACTATGGTGCTGGAGAAGACTCTTGAGAGTCCCTTGGACTGCAAGAAGATCAAATCAGTCAATCCTCAAAGAAATCAACCCTGACTGTTCCCTGGAAGGCCAGATAATGAAACTGAAGCTCAAATACTTTGGCCACCAAATGAGAAGGGAGCACTCACTGGAGAAGACCCTGATGCTGGGAAAGATTGAAGGTCAAAGAAGACGGGGACGGCAAAGGATGAGATGGTTAGACAGTGTCATCGATGCAACGAACATGAAATTGAGCAAACTTCAGAGGACAGCGGAAGACCGGAAGGCCTGGCATGATCTGGTCCATGGGGTCGCGAAGAGTCAGACTCGACTGTGCAACTGAACAACAACAACAACCAAATAACATCCCAGTAAGCATCTATGCAAGAGGAAGGCATTTTTCTCCAAGCAGTTGACAGCTCTAGTTGGAGCCAGGCTCAGTTTGCAATGGCCTCCAGCCTTGCCAGGTCAGAGCTTCATGACACTGCTAGTGTGAAGTAAATTGCCTGCCAGTGTTCCCTCTAAGCTGAGTTAGTGTGAGTTAGCTCACAGTTTTTTAGCCTCTGGCTCTCACATTTTTGTCTTAGCACAGGAAAGGTGGCTCCAGCGCAAATTAATTTATGCAGCAGCCAAATCACTCACTCTCAACTTTAATGCCAGTAGCTCACAAAGTAGGATTTTTGCTCACGAGACTCCACAGCTTAGAGGGAGCATTACTGAGGACCCTTCGTTTAAAAGTTTCTTCCTCCTATTTCATTTACTACTGCTCCAGAAAGTCACTCCACTGACTCTTAAACAAACGTTTATACCCCCAAAAAGGTGCAACTGGACTCAAATCTAACCGTTCTACTACCCTCTGGAACATTTTGTGATGCCACTGTTCCACGAGATGCCAAAGAAACCTCTTCTAGAATACTATCAGTTAGACAGCAGTTACTTCATGCCTAATGTTCTCAAAATCAAAATCTCAAAATCAAACATAACAAAATCTAGCTAGAACTCATAACACCACCCACAGATGCTTTTCAGTGACTGTATCTATAGTTGATTCAGTGCTTGTATAGTAGACCTTCAAATGTTAAAAAGGGTCATCCTGGACAGGTAATGCGTTTTTTAAAATATCGATGTCAAGAGTATGTATTCTGCTTTTGCATCTGCACAGTTGATGGAATTGGTCAGTTGGTGACATCCATCATGCTGGCACATGGTCAGATCTTACTGAAATGTGCTACAGTTCCTAGTCAGGAGTTAATGATTAGGAAGAGTTGAGTAACAGTGTTCAACAAACACAACTGTTTGAGGGAAAGTAGTGAGAGTTCAAAATTCTTTTTAAAGTTAAAACACTTTTCAGCCTAGCGAACATACTTAAAAAAAAAAAGATACTCCATTTTAATGTGGAGATACGGGCATTTGATTGCTCTAATTATAGCCTTGATTCCAGAGAGTCACTGCTATTATCTTCATGACATAAACATATTAATATCTGAATTGCTTTTGTATTTATAACTTAGGACACTCTACCTATTCAGAATGCACAAAAACACTGCTCATTTTGTATATTGTTTCCTTCTACTTTGATCTGCACCCCTTTGCATGATTGAAAATGGTTAGTCAGAGGAGCTGCAGAAGAACCTTTGACCTTTGTAAGCATTTCTTCAGTTCTTGTTGGGTTGACTGAAGGAATTGATCAGTTGACAAAACAAATACTCCATGGAGTCTGTTTCAGAGTAACTTCTGTAGTTATAACACAGTGACAGGGATGGGCAGATAAAGAAGCAGGGGATTGGTTTAAATCCTAGGATCATCTTACATAAAAAGGACACAGCGCTCTGCTTAATGCTCAGTGCATTATTGGATTCTGGAGTCATGAGTGGGTGTCCATTTTGGGAAAACAAATATCAGTGAGTACATTTCTGTTTTTAATAAACAATGGCAGCAATCAAGACAGGCACTATTTGATGGCCAACCTTAAAAGGACATTAAGAAAGGATGAAATATTGACTACTGGGGTACATTGTTAACTACTAAAATGTTTTTTAAAAAGAATAAGAAGCTGCTTTCTGAAAATAATAATATGTTCTATAGTGTTATATGATTAAAATGGAATTGTGGAATCAGCTCTGAACAAATGTAGGCAGTTTGATCCCTTAGCCAATTGTTTTTTGGTTTATTCCTAGATTTAATTTTAACAAGCTGTCTTTATCTGAGGAGGAAGATAAGTCACAAGAAGGACAAAATAAAGCTAACAAAGGGGGCCTTATCTATGGAGACTATTTACAGGTAAGTGTAAATTTGTGATGGGACATACTCCGCTTTTCTCTTCCAGAAAATGGTAATCTGTAAATATGCTACCTCAAATATATTGGGGTGCCAGAGATTAGTGCCTCAGTTGGACATGGATCTTTTAGAGCATTTATTATTATGGAAAACAATTTCCCTCAGCTTTAATAGTAGCTCATGGATGATAGATAGCAAGAGAGTCTGATTATTTTAACACAACTTCTTTTGAGTTAGGAAAGAGCAGAACAGGATTTAAATGTTGTTCAAGATGCCTAATCTCAGATTTGTGAAGAGAACAGAATGTCCTTTAAAGAGCAGAATACACTATACAGACAGTCATAACAAGTTAATACTGGGCTGGTGTCAGCATATGCTGTAGTGGAGCAGCTGCCAAGGCCCCATAGCTTCTGGCAAGGCCCACTGCTACTGACTTCCTACTGATGGCCCATTCTGCATCTAGCATTCACTCCACTGTTTTACCAAACCCATGCTGGAACAGAAATTTCCTTCTACACTGCATGCCACTTTCACTTTGATTGATTGTTGGATTTTATGGCAGTGTCCAGACTGCATGTGCTTTCACTTCATTTGACCTCTTGGTTTTATGGTACCATCTGGATAGATTTATGGCCATTTTATGGCCATTCAGGGGTGACTTTGCAGTCAGTACGGCATTGGCCCGGGATATCTGAATGTGATTTTGAGCTGCATCATTTTCTGTTCCAGTGTGAGTTTGGTAAAACAATGGAGTGAATGCTAGATGCATGTATCTCCTCTGATGCCTGTGTTCACACCCTTCCACTGCCTGCTTGTGAGGGTTTTGTCACTTGTGCTCCCAGCCAGGTATGCTGCCTAGAGCTGCTGGAGAAGGATAGGTGAGTGGTGCAAAAAGTGTCATCGTTCCTGGTGGCCATGGCAGGGGGCCCTCCAGCACCACCAGGAAAAGTACATTCAGGCAGTGTGGACAGCTACTAATGCAGATGGTAAGAGAGCTTGCAAGATGGCAGGAGAACAATGAGCAAGCAAGTAGGAGCATGTGGGTGGGCGGGCAAGAAGAGGGGACTGGTAGTGGGCTTATGGTGGGCCTTGGGCATTCTGTAATCTGTAACCAGCCGTGAATGAATACACTCCCTTAACAAGAGCTACTAAATCACTGCGTCCTAAAGCCTGAGAATATATGAAAAGTTATACAGTCATAACAGTATTCATTTGGCTGATCTTTATACTAGCCTGATCATTTATTGTCTAGAAACGGTCAATAATTTGTAAGACTTGAATGTATTAATAATAGCTGTTATGTTATTCAGTTTTGTGTTTCAGCTATGTCTTTATTTTTAGTCTACCATTTTACGTTTTTTCAGACAAATTTTGTTTGGCAAGAGATTAGCCATGGGGCAGAAAAAAAAATAGTGTGCAAAACCATGGACATAACACCTCTAACTCTTTTTTTAAATATCATTTGTTTCCAGTCAAAGAGAGCCTCCTAGAGAAAGCACAATAATTGCTATTGTTGGTATCTGATTATAGTCACCGTTGAGTTAGCAGCTAAGCAATGCAAGTAATTATGCAGTGAGGGGTACCAGTTGTTTGGGATAAAGGTGGACATTTAATTATTTTAATAAGTGAATAGACATCCAGACAAATGGATGTGTTTTTCCTCAAATTAGCACACTATATATGCTTTATGTGCTTCCTCTTGTTAGCCATTTCAGCACAGTAGACTATAGATCACAATAGTCATGTTCTTATGTTACAGTGCTACAAAGGCCATTTTTTAAAATAAACAACCAGACACTAATATGACTCTGAACTTAAAGTTCTGGATGTTCATGCTGACTGTTAAATGCAAACTCATGGAAAGAGAAGTTAAGTTGGATTTAATTGTACTGCCTTAAGAACAAGCTTATATTCTTTCTTTTAAAGCTAGACAAAATATTGAATGCTCAGGAACTTCAGAGTGAGAAGAAGGGGAACAAAATCCATGATGAGCATCTGTTTATTGTGACCCACCAAGGTAATCTTCTGGAGCAAAAGCAAAAATAGGATATGGCGGCACTTGGTTTTTATTTGATGATTAAATTATTAAAATTGATATGTAAAACATAAATAGATCCAATTATGCATATTTATTTGATGATTAAATTATTAAAATCGATATGTAAAACATAAATAGATCCAATTATGCATATGCATTACTAGTTTCTCACAAACGTGTTGGATATGAAAATACAGATGGAGGCCAAAATGGGGTACAGTTCAAACCAGGCTCAGATTAGGGTTGCCAAGTCGAAAATCGTCGGGAGCGGGGGACTCCCGTCTGGCGTCCTATGCGCGCACGTCACCAAAAAGTGACGTTATGACGCCGGGCATGGTCGTGGCCCCGCCCCCAGCATGCTTGGCGTCATAACGTCACTTCCTGGTGATGCGCACGCCGGGGTGAGGTTCCCCCCGGGGCCTGATCCACCAGCGGTGGGGAACGGGCCTCTGGGGCTGGGGTTTCCCCGCCCCCTGGGGGGACTTGGCAGCCCTACCTCAGACACATCAGAGGAGGACCCAGATGAGCTCCACAAAGAGATAGGATTGCTGTCAGAGGCAGATCCCTCAGACTCAGATATAGGGTTGCTAGCTTCTATGTAGAGCCCAGATATCTCCCACTTTTACAGCTGATCTCTAGCTGACAGAGATCAGCTCCCCTGGAGAAAATGGCTGCTTTGAAGGGTGGACTATATGGCACTGTACTGTGCTTAGATCCCTCCCCTCCCCAACCTCCTCCCTCTCCTGGATCCACCCCCGAAGTCTCCAGGTATTTTCCAATCCAGAGCTGGCAACCTTACTCAGACACAGTGGGTCCTCAGACCATGCCCCAAGAGCCTGCAGTCAAGACCTTGAGCCCCTAGCTCCCAAGGCCATGTGCCAAGATCCTGAAGTTGAGACTTTGCCACTGGGAGACCCAGCAGATATTCCAGATTAAGTGAAAGCAGTCCTGTGGTCAGGCCAGGCTGGATACAGGACCAACAGCCTTCCAGGTTTTGCCAACACCCCAGCAGGAGCAGCAGAGACAGTAGGCCCATGCAGAAGCAGCCCAGTGGAGACCCCATGCCAGAGATCCCTCCTGGCATCTGGTGGAGGATGGAGGGAACTTACCAGGAGAAAGAGGAAGGCCCCGGCCACATCACTGACATTGCACAGAAAGTGAAGTCATCACACTGTGATGTCACAGCAACACTCTGGTATTTGGGGGGAAAACTCTTTGGTAAAAAACGGCTTCTACCATAGAGTTTTTGCCCAAATACCATTGCGTGTCCCAGACGTCACTGGCAGGATGACATCACTTCCTGTGTGACACTGATGACATGGCCTGGACCTTCCTCTTTCTCCTGGTAAGTCCCTCTGCCAGCCAGCTGATTGGCACAGGGTGGCTGGGCCTGGCAATGGGTGACCCCTGCCTCCACTGGGAGGGCAGCCTGTGCTCCCATTCTTCGGCCAGACCATGGTTGCAGAGGATGTAATCATTTGAAGGATTCTGTCCCCAGTTAAGCCTTGGCAATTGAGTCCTGGGTGTTGCCTCCAGAGCAGGTGGGGCTGCTTTCCTCATAGCTTCGGGCTGAGAGGGAATTCTTGCTGGATCAACCAGTTCTCAAGGTTCCAACTCTTGTGCTCTACTTTTTCTGCTCCTGGCCCAGGATCTCCAAGAAGACTTTTCTTGCTGCAACACCTGGAGTCAGAACACCCTCATTTTTGTTTTCTTTTATTGTGTGCATTCACTCTCTCCTGTTTTCTGCTACTTCTGAATTCCAATTTCCCTAGGGGGAAAAAAATTAGAGTCCAGGGGCACCTTTAAGACCAACAAAGGTTTAGTCAAGGCATGAGCTCTCGTGTGCATGCATACTTTCCCAAATACATTGGAAAGGAAGCTAGACTTCAAACTTATAGAGTTTTCTGCTACTTCTGAATTCCAATTTCCGTAGGGGGAAAAAGAATTAAGAGTCCAGGGGCACCTTTAAGACCAACAAAGGTTTAGTCAAGGCATGAGCTCTCGTGTGCATGCATACTTTTCCAAATACATTGGAAAGGAAGCTAGACTTCAAACTTACAGATAGAGGCTGTACAGAAAATTAACATGTAACATGATGTAGGTGCTTTAAGATATGCAAAGACAAAACTAAATTACAAGCTAAGGTTATAAGGTCAACAGTTGTTTTGATCTAATTAAGGGGGGGAAAGGACAGCACAGCAATAAATATGTCAAAATAGGGGATAAAAGGCATCTTTTCCAACTGTGGGAAGTAAACTGAGAACCTCCTCTGAGAAATGGAGGAAACATAACAGCATTTCTTTCTTTCTTTTCTGAGATGGTTGCTGTGGTATGTCAGCAAAACATTCCAATATCTTAAAACATCTTCATCATGTTACATGTTAATTTGCTATTCAGCCTCCGTCTATAAGTTTGGGCTCTAGCTTCCTTTCCAATGTATTTTAAAAAGTGTGCCTGCACATGAAAGCTCATGCCTTGAATAAACCTTTGATGGTCTTTCTTTAAAGGTGCCCCTGGGCTCTAGATTTGTTCTAGTGCTTCAGACGAACACAGCTGCCCACCTGGAACTACCTAGAAAAAATTAACCGGTTACATGTAATTTTTACTTGATTTTTATTGGAATTTGTAAATATTTTAATATTTTAATGTTTATAATTTATATTGTCATACAAGACATATTATTTTATCATTGCTTTGATAGCTGTTCTATTAACTGTATTGGTTGCATTATGGTCTTTGACCGCAATAAACTTATCTGTCTGACAGTGTGGTATACTGGTTAGAGTATCATACTAGCATCTGGAAGATCCTGGTTCAAATCTGAAAAGTACTGGGTTCGCCGCATGGAGGACTCGGACAACGACATGCTGTAGCACACGTTTATTGTACTTCACATAGACAAAGACTAACTCTAACGGCCAACAGGGCCCACTATATACATATCCACCAGCAACCCCCCCACTCCCATTGGAGGGTTTGAATGTCCCGCCAAGGTGGCTATTGGTTGGGGCTGGGGAATCCAGGATCTGAAGTTTCCTTTGTTTTCGGATCCAAGTTCTGGCCTGTCCGCGGACCCTTGGAGGCGGTCCACATACATAACAAAATCCCTGCTGTCATTGGAGTTTGCTGGGTGGGTGATTTAGGACTTGTCATTCTCTCTCACCCTAACCTATCTCATGGGGTTGCTGTGAGGATAAAATGAAGTAACAACTATGTTGAAAGCTGTATGGGTGGGTCCTCACTGGGGAGAAAAGCAGGATATAATTGTTTAAAACAAATTCCAGAACCAGTTTCCCCTGGCTTTCAATTTGCTTCTCCTTTCTTTTCTTTATTATTGATGAACACACCACAACTAGTCATGTATTGGCTAAACTTCACTTCTCTCTAGTACATTTTCATCATCTTTCTTCTAAGGATCTCCAAGTAACATGCATGGTTCTTACTTTCCACTTTCATCTTTACAACTACTATGTGAGGCAGGTTAGGCTGAGAGAATATGACAGGCCCATTTATTACCTCATGTGATGCAGTCTTGTTTATTGCAACCTTACTACCACTCCTCTGCATTACTCTGACATTGTATGAACATCTGCAGATATTGGTATGATTATGTTCAGGGATGGGGTGGAAAGAGGGTGTTCAAGTACAGAAAAACTGAAGGCAGGTTCTCTAAGTGTTTTGTTTAATATTCCAGTCTTAAGGAAACCTTTTATTGGACCATTTCATAATAAATCAGGAGAGGCTTAACTTTCTGATGTTTCATCTGAATTCATCATCCCTGTTTGCTAAGACAGGAAACCAACAGTGTGTGCTTTTTCATTGTAGCTTATGAACTATGGTTCAAGCAGATCCTGTGGGAACTTGATTCTGTCCGAGTGATATTTCAAAATGGTCACGTAAGTTGTATAAATATGTATTCAAATTTTTAAAATATTTCCTTTATTGGTTGTTTTTCACCAACCGCACACTGAATGTTTGAAATTCAGCTCTTTACTGAAGGTTCTGTGCATTGAGGAGATTTAGAACACTAAACTGTTCTCTGTTTGACATCCCCAAACCCCACTGAAATCCATAAAACCTAACAGTTTAGCTAACTGCTGAAGGCTACTGTTTGGTGCACATATACCTGAGAGTAAGCCCTACATGTGACTTACTTTTGAATAAGCATTCATAGGCTTGTGCTGTAAGGCTGCAATTTTAAAAACACTTACTCAGAAACATGCTACATTGATCTCAGGGGTACTTAATTGAGCTAGTTAGCACTGTGAAACCAAGTTGTGAGTAAGTCCCAAAGAACCTTGTGGGGCTGATTTCCAAGTAAAAGTACAAAGAATTAGGCTGCCAATGTAGCCTAAATAGGATTTAGGAATGCCAAATTTGCTTTGGATTTTGTCAATTACTTCATATGCATTCCTCCTTGGAAGACACAGACATAAATCATATAGCAACCCTTTAGTGGCTTATAAAACCTAAATAGCAAGATCTGGGTTAAATGCTGTCATAATTACATGAAAAATAATGATCAAAGCCACTATTCCCTGCTCTGCCTTGCCAGTGAGTAATGAGGTGTATTTTTCTTTTTCCTCCTCCCTCACTAAGGTGAGAGATGAACGGAATATGTTGAAGGTTGTTGCTCGAATGCATAGAATTGCAATGATCCTTAAACTACTTGTGGAACAGTTTTCTGTTATAGAAACTATGACAGCCCTGGACTTCTTTGATTTCAGGTAAACTCTTCCTTTAATTCATTCACAGGTGGCAATATCCATGGCATGGAATCCTTTGGGGCTAAAAGAACATTTGCAATTTGTCAGTATTAAACCTTATAGCTCATAGATAAGGATTAGACTGTTCAAATGAACAAGATTAATGTCTGCTTTGGCAAAAGGTATATGTTCAGTAATTCTGTCAGGATAGTTTTCAATTATAGAATAGAATTTGACGTGTGGCTCCCCAAGTCAGTTTGCTGGATTAACAATGCAAAAAAGATGGAGTGTCCACTTGGATCTTAACTAATCAAATAACGAGCTGAAAAGTAATTCCTGCTACTATCCCTATGATAACTGTTCTGAATTGTCATTATTTTCAGTTAGTTCAAAGCAAGGTGGCCAGTGTTAAATGGGGAGGAGAAAGTGGAGGAGAGGGGGATATAATTAAAATGGAATGATTGGGTGGGAAATAATTAAAATCAAATAATGAAAGATGGACCTCCTGATGGCACCTGGTATTTTTGGCCACTGTGTGACAGTGTTGGACTGGATGGGCCATTGGCCTGGTCCAACATTGGCTTCTCTTATGTTCTTAATTCAAATAAAATTTTAAAACATTAAAATGAACCAGAATGAAAAAACAGAAAAAGAAACTGTTCATGTTCCAAACAGAAACTAGTCAAGCAATCCTAGAAGACCAGATGCTGCCAGACAGAGCAGAGTCCATGATCTAGATGGATCACATGTGATTTACAATGAAATCCTAAGCAGAGCCACGCCCTTCTAAATCCTTTGAGGATTCATGCATGGGGACTCAAAGCAGCTTAGAACATCATTTCCCACTCCTCCATTTTCTCACAACAACAACCTTGTGAGGTAGCCCAGGGGAGCGTTTGTGACGGGCCCATCATCACACAGAGAGATTCCATGGCAGAAGTTAGTGTTGCCAACTCGTTTCTCAGCCGCAGCAGGGTACTCCCGGGTGGCGACTGGAGCGCGCGCGCCGCAAGCACATCACCAGAAAGTGACGTTAGGATGCCAGGCACGCTGGGGGTGGGGCCAAGACCATCGGAGGGAAAACCATAGAGTTTTCCTTCCGATGGTCGTGGCCCCACTCCCAGCATGCCCGGCATCCTAATGTCACTTCCTGGTGATGCGCACATCGGGGTGGGGTTCCCCCCGGGGCCCGATCCGCCGGTGGCGGGGAACGGGCCTCTGGGGTGGGGGTTTCCCCGCCCCCCGGGGGGACTTGGCAAGCCTAGCAGAAGTGGGGATCTGAACCTGGGTCTCCCAGGATCCTACTTTGCCACTCTATGCACTACACTATGCCCCCCCCCCTTGATACATTTAGAAGGGTTGAACTCTTCTTAAGATTGCAAGATTAGCATAAGCCTGTTTTATTTTTTTCTTGTTTGGAAGTAAGCCCCATTTGATTCAGCAGGCTTTTTTTCAGCAGGACTCACTCTGAGTAAATGCAACAAGATCAGACTGCCTGATTTTGTAAATACTCAGGTTTTATACATGCAATATAGCAAGACAAGGAAAGTGAACGTTATTACAAATATTCTTGATTTGTTCTGAATGCGGACAGTGGTGGTTACTGAATTCAGAAAGCTTTTTGTACAGATTGATCTAGTGTCTATATTTCTTCTAAAATGGCAGGCTGTTCGTAATGATTTCTGAAACGCTTCTCAGTGCAGCAGTCCATTGCATTGGCTCCAGGAACTTCCCTACCATCCCCTAAGATACTGAGTCAGCATTTTCTTTTCATAAAGTAACAATTAGACACAGCAGCACTAAGTTTTGCTTACTGAACTGGTTTCTTCAAAAGCATATATGACATTATACATCACTTTTTACATTGCAAAACTGTTCTTTCCCCCCCCTATCTTTAAAGAGATTATTTGAGTCCAGCATCAGGTTTTCAGAGCTTACAGTTTCGCTTACTGGAGAACAAGATTGGTGTCCCGCAGAGCCTGAGAGTCCCATACAACAGAAGACATTATCGGGATAACTTCAAAGGAAAAGAAAACGAGTTGCTGTTGAAATCTGAGCAAGAGCTAACCCTGCTGCAGCTAGTGGAAGTAAGGGTGCCTACTAATTGGTGACCAGCTGCAGGGCAGTTCTAGCAATACTTTACAAATTACATATATCCCATTTATTTTGGCCAAGAGGGATTCACCTTAGCTGAGCAGAATTAGCCTATTTGAACAAATCTAATTCCCTCTTGCCTAAAATATATGGGCTATTTGGAGACTTTGGTAAATTCTTATGAAAACTGCTTTGCAGTAGGTCAATTAAAATGCCTGAACATTGTGAGAAAGCTACTCTGATCGGATTTACAAATTACAGTTGTACAGGAGGCAAGTATCAACAACCCCATATATTTTTGGAAACATTGAAGAGTTGACATTAACTTTACTAGCCCTGGGTAGAAGGAATACTTATAGAGCTAGTGTAATGTATCATTTGTATGTCAAGATATGCATGGACATTGATCCTCATTCACAGAATATTAATTATGCTATCTGAAACAAATAACTTTCCTGTGCAACCTGGTCAAAAGTGCCATTGTCAAATAACAAGCTAGTTACCAGACAATGAATTATACTCAACCAAATTTTCCATGGTTGGGAAAGGGAAGAGGATATCTCCCTTGACTTCTGAAAAGGCTATGCTGGGGATTATGGCACCTACATGGCCAATATTCATGTGAGGCCTTATGCCAATGAAGGTATTGTATTTGTATTTGTATGTGAGGCAAGGGCACTAGTAAAGAGGGGAACTGCGTGAAAATGAGTGGAAGAGCTAGCTGGATATAACCCAGTCTGCAATCCATAAACGAATATAAGAAGAGCCCTGCTGCATCAGACCAATGGCTCATCTAGTCCAGCATCCTGGAGGGCCAACAACAGGGCATAGAGGCCGAGGCCTTCCTCTGATGTTGCCTCCAGGCTTTAGGATTCAGAGGTTTAGTGCTTCTGAATGTGGAGGTTCCCCTCAGTCACCAAGGCTATCAAAAATTACGAATTAATCTATTTTGTTCTTTAAGGCATGGCTAGAAAGAACACCAGGACTCGAGCCGGAAGGGTTTAATTTCTGGGGGAAATTTGAAATGAATGTCCTTAAAGGACTGGAAGAAGAATTTGCAATGGTGCAGGTACTGATAATTTTTTCTTTATTAAAGAAGCACTCAATTACATTTTCAGTAGTTGGTCATGGTGTATTTTATGGCTGATCAATACATTTAGCCATCCATAAGTGTGGCCACTTGAAACAGAGTCCTGTGTGTAGCTTCATAGGTTAATCCATTTTTGTGACTAGCCCCCATCCATGGTGGTGGGGGGGAGGGATTTACACAAGCAAGTTGAACCTGCCCTCCCTGCTGAAGCAGGCTCAGGCTGTTCCTTACCACCCACCTTTGCTTCCTCCTACTTCTCTCAGTCTCTCCCTCTTTCTCCTTCTTACCATCCCTTTTCTTGTTCTTTCTCTCCCTCATGCCTATCACTTTCTTTTTTTCTGCCCCCACCCCATCACTTTTTCTCTCTTTTTGTCCCCCCCAATGCCATCTTTCTTTCTGGCCTCCATTACTCTCCTGGCCACCCCCCTGCCTGCTTCCCCCCCCCAGAGAGATGCAGCAGCAGTGGCTCTCCTGGCCACCCATCTGCTGCTTGTCCCTCACAACAGCAACAGAGGCAGCTCTCCCCACTGCCTGCCCACTTCTTATCCCCTCTCCCAGTAGCAGCAGTGGAAGAGTCCCCAGCAGCCAGCAGGGCCCTCTGGGGACACTGTGTTGGCAGCTCAAGTAAGTAATCTGTGCACATGCAGATATAGTTACTGTTTTTCGAGGGGGGGTTTAAATCCCTCCAAATAACCTGGGGTGGCCCCAAAGTTTGAAGAAAAACCTTTCAATGTGGGACCGATCTGTGGAGTTAGATATCCACAGATCTGCCCACACTTGAGAAATGGGTATACTGACATAGGTGAAATACACATTACTGCTTTTCAAACAGGTGTCTGCAGATATAAATCAGGTTTTTAGTCTTTAATGGATATGAGTTTCAAGATCAGTGACTGACTGTAAGTTATGTCTGCATGACAAATGTGTAGCAGTGCTTTGATGGCAGGGACATCTTTAACTCCTTCAACAAACTTCCACTCCCACTATAAGGAGCCACGAGGCCGATGGTTGTTCTCTTAGAGAACTGAAACTCTAAAGAAGGATTTACATGTTAACATTTGGTATATTTGTACCCAGAGATGTGTTCTCATATATGGCACATTGGAAACCAGGTTGTGTACAAATGGCCATTAAGGAGTTATTTTTTTTAATTTATGTCTTAATTTTTGTAATGCATATTAGGAATAAAATGTATATCATGTGGCTATTTCTATGCCGTTTTATAGAAACATTTTCATGTGTCTTTATGTGAAAATGTAATATGAGAATACTCTCAAGAATTTAGAGCTACAAAATTGTTGGAGAAGGACCACCAGCTTTAGTATATTTGACAGGCAGGAACAATATAGGCAAGCCGCAATATAGGTTTCAACAAACTCAGTCAGCTGAAAGGAATAGAAATAAGTTTGTGTGCTTCCTAACCAATATAAAGTACACCTCAGTCATCTGGCGTCAGTGAGAAAGTGAACTGAACTACGAGAGTACTATGAAAATGGTGGCCTTGCTTTTAGAGTGTTGCTGTGCAGTCTGAGTCAGAATAATCAATCAACTGAATGTAATTTTTGAGCCTCAGAAAGACTTCAGCAATGGACTGACAATGGAATAGGGGTAGAAAACCAGCAGTAGTTCCTACCTGTTGAGGTGACTTTCAAAGTCATGGTAAAGCCCTTTTCAGGGACAGATGACTTACCTAAGATGGGTTGAACAGAATACACATTTTTCTTGAGGACAGCAGAAAGGACAACAGAAGAAAAAAAACTATTCTAGAAAAAAAAAGGATAAGCTTTTAGGATTCTAAAATATATATATATTGTTTGAAAGGCCAAAGAAGACTCAGAGGAAAAAGAAGATCAAATGGCAGAACTTAAGAAACAAAAGGAGGTACTTATTTCATTGTTTGATGAAAAACTGCATGAACATCTTCTTAGCAAAGGTAGGTGTAATCATTCCTTGCAAACAAACTAAAATATGATTTAAAAATGTGAACTTAATATTTTAAGTAATGTGTGAATAGACTTTAGGGTGAGATTCCAAAGTCCTTGAGTAAAGCAGTGAACCACATATTTACAGTTGAGGATTGGGGTGGATATCTCTCTTCTCCAACAACATACATATGGTCATTGATGCCAATTCTCACAGCACTGATCTCCTGCTGCTTCGAGAGAGAGTCTGTACCTGCATCTGGCAACTAAGAGATCAGTCCTCATAGGGAAAATTCATGGTGTGAATTAGGGGACACTAGCGGGAAAAGCCGCAACAAACAGAAGTGCGGCAGCAGGATCAGACAGGTCCCCCGAGGCTCTGTGCTTCTGCCAGCAGCCGCGATCACATGCTGCAGGGGAAGCGACTCTAAGAAGGGTGAGGAGGGCCAGCCGCAGCAGTTGTGCGCATGCACAGTTCGCCATTACCACGCATACCACGGGCAGCAATCCCATGGCCGCCGTTGCTGCGCGTTGCACAGTTCACCATTACCACGCATACCATGGGATAACTGCGTGTCAGCAATCCCATGGCCACCGTTGCTGCGCGTTATCTGGTAGGTAATGCCCTTTCACTAGTCTTCTTTAGATCCCCATCTTTGGCCGGAAGGGACGGGTGTGTGATGCTTGCCAGATGTTGCCATCTGATCACGCCAGTTTAATCTGCCCTCAACCCGTCCGTTTCGTGGGGCAAATCCTCCCATGTGACTGGGGCTGGGGTAGGGCAGGACATGAGCATGGGAGATCAAACTGACTGGCTACTCCTTACCCTACTGGCAAAGCTCTTGGTATACCCCACATTAAGTACTTACTGTGCTAGACTTGTTAATGTGTAGGAATTTCCACTGTCTAACAAAGCAGAAGGAACTCAGCTACAAGGACATTATTATATTATTTTTGCAGGTGAAAGAAGGTTGTCTTATAAAGCAATGAAAGGAGCTTTAATGATCTACTTTTACAGGTATTTTATAAAGAGTTATTCATTTTTGTGAACCTTTTTGCTACCAGAAATGTTATTTTTCCTCTGAGGGAAGTGTTCCTAAACATTGTTATCTCTTGCAAGGATGTTTGGGATTTTTCAGACAGAAATATCATCAACATTTAGAAAAATATAACTTTATGCAGTTTAATAGAGATCTAACTTCCCAAAGTTTATTTTCCTGGTAGTTTAAAACAATAATTTTTGATAGATTTGCGTTGCAACCCTCCCCCAACCCTCCCATATTGGTATTTATTTAAACAAAGTTCCATTTGCTTCAAGTATTGTTTATTTTCAAAAATTATCCTCACTGTTTGTTTGCATGCCTTTTAGAATTAAAAACAATCTGGCATTTCAGATTTTTGCATACTTATCTGCAGTCAATGAGGCTGAAAACCTAAGCCTACTTAGCTGAACGTGCTTTAGAGCAAACATAGGCAGGTAGGGACTGCAAATGTGTCACATATGCAGCCTGATCCCATGTATGTTTACCTGAAACTCTCACTAGGTTCCATGGGGCTTACTCCCAGATTAGTGTGTCACCAGATTCTGAGATCTGATGTGAATTTTCTTCTCAGGATCTTCTTGGAAAGGAGTAAAGGGGAAAAGAAGCACAATCACAAGGGCAATTTTCTGTTTAGCTTGAGAGCTTTTGCCGTTCATTCTGTCAGGTTCCATACTTGATGAACCATTTCCTTAGGGTCTCATTGGTGCCAGTCTGTGCCCCCCATCAAGCATGACTAGTCCTTCCTCACCTATTTTTCTGCCTAGAAGATAGTGCCCAACTATGAGAACTGCTTCTATAGTTCTTTACTTTGCTATCTATGTGCAAGTGCTGTCAGGCTTAGGGATATCATCTGCTCTTAAGTCAATCAGCAGTTGTGTCCTTGTAGTAATGGGCCTCTCAGCATGAACTTTTCTCTGTCTAGCACCCATTGATTCATGTATTTATTTGCACAATTTTTATCTAGCATTCCCAACTAAATGTGCAAGGTGGCTAACAATGTATATACCTGTCCCCTAGCTGATATAGAGGTCCCACCTTATTATGATATCTCCCATCTTCTGGATCTAGGTGGGTGAGCACCAGATGCAGGGCCTTGTCAGTAGTGGCACTTACCCTGTAGAACTCTATCCACACAAAGGCTCCTCTGGTACCATCTGTATTTTTTTTTTCTTCTGTCAACCCTTTTAGACCCATTGAAGGTAGTTTTATTGTGTCGTTTCAGGCTATGGTTTTAGAGGCTCTTTGAATGTTTTTTTAAAAAAAAGGATATTTAAGATCTTATCCCATTTTGATATGTTTTATTGTTGCTGCTTTATATGTTTATTGTTATTTTAACTTTGTTTTATTCATTTACCATATATGTTATCATTTTATACTGTAAGCTGTCTTGTATACAGTTTTATGGACTATAAAATATAAGTATTTTGATTGATAAAATTTATACCCTGCCTTTCTGCCCACCATGGCAGCTGACAATGCAAAACACACATAGTAAAATCACATTTCAATAATAATTATAATCAGCAAAAAACAAATAATTAAAACAAATAGTGGCTTAACAACAAAACCATATTATTTCCACCTTTGCTTTATTCCTCTTTTAAATGCTGTTTAGCTGCTTTGTTATTTTGTACATTTGAGGATTGTTACTAATTTTAATTTAATTACAGTCTTAGTGTATTTTAACAGTTTTGTGCCACTTTGAGAATTTTGGTTTAGCTTCTAAGTATTTAGAATAAATAAGCAAATGCAAAACTTAAACAAATGAAATCAACTTAAGTAAAATACTGAATTCTGCTTATTTCCCCTCCCCCCCAAAGAGAGGAACCTCGCTTTCAGATTCCTTTTCAGCTCCTCACTTCTCTTATGGATATAGACGTGCTGATGACCAAATGGAGATGTAAGTTTTTGCTCCTGTGTTCATCCTGTGGTGTATCTCGTGTTAACATGTTCCGTGGAGAGATCTGTAATCAGATCTCTTGTTGTCCTTTAAAAAAAAAATTTGAAAAAGCAACCACAGTATACGTCTATTATTTGCGTGTGATTTGGATCAGGGCTACTGTGTTGGGTGTAAGGAAGTTAACTTGTCCATTCCATGCCATTTTCCTGATAGAAATAATCCTCTCTCCACCAGCTGTTCCCAGTGTAATGGGGGTGGTAGTGGTGGTACTGAGACAAATGTGTACACATTTTGTTTGGGAAAATATTATGAGTCAAAGCATTAATTCCTCCTCCATAAAGGCCGCAGTCTGAATCAAGCCCCCCACACCAGTAATGGTTTTTTAAAAGGTTTTTAAAATAACCTTAAATCTCCCACAGAATACAGAAGTCATTCCTCTTGCTACTATAGCTGTAAAAAAGGTTTTGCATTACAGCAGCATTGTAGCCCAAGAAATTAAATTGAAGCTTGATTAATTAAAAGAGTGGATAATGAAAAACAGTAGACAATGGACAGTTTTTATGCTGGGATTCATCCATATCTTGTAAATAAGGGGAATCATAAAGGTATCTGCAGCCTGCTGCTAAGTATGCATGACTTCTGGCAGTTTAAATTTAGTACTGTCTAGCAGTGTTCAGGATAACCTTGGACACCCTGACTCCTACATGCAGTCAGTGATAATCATACAGGTCAAATACGTATTGCATCTATTTCAGTGAACAGTGAATGCAGGCAGGCCCTTGGTCCCTCAGGAAAGCATATAGCTGCAATTTTCTGCCTGGCTAGCTACAGCTGGGAATTTATTTCATTAAAAGAGTTTTTTAAATGTCTTTAAAAATGTGCTCATGTCTGCCCAAACAAAGCAATGATCAACTCAGCAGTTTTTAAGAACTACCTCAGTGATAACAAAATGACCTGTTTTACTTTGCAAAATTATGTGCTAAAAATTGGCCCTGTGTTTAGATAACCATGTGTGCATGGTGCACAGAATGATTGGCAGCAAGGCTGGTACTGGAGGATCATCCGGGTATCAGTATTTACGCTCTACTGTGAGGTAAGTCTATAAAAGACCTAGCTGAACTTTGTCACCTTTGATGAATATGAACACACATGCACAAGACATGAAGAGAAGAAATGGCCGAATTGCAGTCCCTTGACTTAACCATTCATTGGTCTTCTGTCACTAAGGAGGTGTAAGCTGTCTAGCACACTGCTGTCAAATTTGTGCCTGAGAATTCTTGAAAACTCTTTAAGAAAATAATGATGACTGAGGAATGACGCACTGAAAATTTCTGAAAGTGCACATGGAAAGAAACTGGTTTCTCCTTCTTTATAAATGAGGCCTTCCAGTGAAATTAACGAGCAGCAGCAAGGTCATGACATAGGACAGAATGCATAATTAACCTATCAAATTAATTGTCAGGAGTTAAGAAACCAATTAACTTGGACTATATTGGTGTGGTCAAGATCACCTTTATATATAAAGTGCTGATCCACTTTGGGAACCAATTTTGATACTCATATCATAATTAAATAAATGTGGTTAAAACCTGTTGTCTTCAGCTTTTGTAGCAAAAACTTTCAAAATCATTGTCTGTGTGACTTTGGGTTATAGGTCCTAGCAATAAGCCCATATGAAACCAGAAAACATCAGGGTATTCCACATCCATTCAAACAAAGCTCATATATTTCTTCCTTTCTTTACAGTGACAGGTACAAAGTGTTTGTTGACTTGTTCAATCTTTCAACATATTTGGTGCCAAGACACTGGATACCAAAGCTGGACCCAACTGTCCATAAATTTCTTTACACAGCAGAATATTGTGACAGTTCCTACTTCAGCAGTGATGACTCGGACTAAAAACTATCCTTGGATGATCCTTGCAAATAACTAACCTGTACCTGAAAGTACTTTGGTGCCTTAATCATATACCTTATGCATATATTATGTAATATACATGCTTATATATTTATATAAAATATTGCATACCTTATAAAGCGTAATAACTGTATTTCAGACAGATTCTATGAAATAAACTAAACATAAATACACACGAACAACTCTAACTTGGTCCCTATGAGGTATCAAGGTACTAAGGAAATGAGAGGGATGCTGTGTTCAAAGAAACAGCTTTTCCCTGTAGGGGCCATTCCATGTACACATGTTGCATTGTTCCTCTGTGCAAACGTCAACTTCCCTATATACTGTTATTGGATGGGGGCAGTTTTATGGTGTAGGAAGGCTCAACCAATCCTTCTCTAGGGCCAAAGTGTCTTCTGATGTGCAAAGGATACTGATGTACTCAGAGTGCTGTCCTCAAGAGTTACACCTGTCAGAGCTCATTGACTTCAGCAGACTCAGAAGGATGTAACTCTGCTTAGGATGGCACTGTAAGTACACTGAAGAAGCAGCTGTTACTGGATTTCCACTGATTCCTTCTGTGACATTTTTAGTAATCAAGTCAAAATACCCAATGGGATAAAAATGGCACGTAAGATTTCCTATGTAATCATCATCTTTATTATAAAATTAGTAAATATGAATCTGAGTATACAGAAATATTTTAACATCTCAGCTATCATACAGAAATATTTTCATCAAAACAGACTGTTAAAACTATGACAAGTATTGACATTCCTTCATCAAGTGTTGCTTTCTAAGTTTCAAAATGTTAAAGCATTGTGCTGCCATAAATACACAAACATTATTTATTGATTAAAATATTTATATCCTACATTTTGTCCTGTGAGGTAGCTTGGAAAAAAACAAGATTTTACAAATCTGGTCAGAGCGAAGGGGAAGGAACCATATTTGCAGCAGTTGCATATGAAGGGGAAACATTCATTATTTCTACTTTGATTTGCTAGGTGCTTTACAATCGTTATCTGCATGAAAAGTTCTTTTTATGCAGCTGGCTTCCTTTCTGAATCTGTTCAGACTGCAGCCGCTGTATTTTGCCTTCACAACTGTGTGAGATGGATCACTGCTCCAACCATGTCATGGGTAGGGAATTAAGGCAGGGCACCGGCTCAGTTTTGGTTATGACTGTCCAATGGCCACACTATGGCTGCGGTCACACCAGCAAGGAAATACGGGCGGGAAGCAAGGCTGCTTGCCCCGGGGCGAACTGACGCGCTTTTGCGCAATCAGACTTCCGCCCGCCCCGCAGTTCCGGATGATACTGACGTTTCCCTGGTGGCTTTTTACAATACTCCTGCGGTGCAACGAGAAGCCCCAAGAAGACTCCGGGACGCTGGACAGATGTGTCTGTCTGATCGCGTCCCTTTAATCCGTGGGGGAATTGCATGTCTGTTGCAGCTTCTTGTATGTATGATCGCAGCCTATAAGTACCTGATTAAGTCAGGTTGCCCCGATCCAGGTCCAGTTCTCTACTTATTAGGCAGCACTGGCTCAAAACTCTCATTTGAAACGTTTGGAGAAGTGGAAGTAAGACACGAGTACCAACTGTACCCTGAACTGATAATATACAGTACTGTGAATGCCAGGATGGAAGATGAAGCACAGCCCAGGGCCTGTGTCAGTTACAAAGCTCATCAGAATGCCCCTTCTTAAGTATAAAATGCCACCAATTCACACAAACACAGCAGAAACTTCATCAGCAATACCTAAAAGGCAACCAAATGAAAATTACCATTGCATCATAACCAAAACGGAGCCGGTGCCCTTGATAAAATGGGGGGATTTTTTTTTTTGCAGTTACTTGTTACCCAGCTTTTGTATTGCATGAGTATTTAATCCTTATTTTTAATGTCTTAAACATGACCGATTAGGGATCTTCAGGATTTTTCTTGTAGAGTGGCCCCACAGAGAATCTGCCACTCTGGATGAGTCTAATCATTGCACTGGAAAACAATTACAATTAGCTTTAGAAGAATAAGCAATGCTATTATCATTGTATACACCTGAGCTCAATTTTTCCTAATTTATGATTCAAAGCCAGCAATCCTTAATTGGCTAACTTCATCTATCAGCTTTAATGGGATATAATTTAGCATATGAGCAAATTGGTCAGGCAGGCAGGCAAGACAGCCTTCAGTGTGACTATACAATATTTGACATCTTTGACCCTTAGGGCAGGGATAACATGCTTGCCCAGAGAACTGAAAAAGCTCTTACAACAGGACCCTCCAGGTAATACATCTGTACTTGCATCCATTCCAGTATCTGGTTTAAATAATCGTGATACCTTCTGCTCAACTTACCACAGACATTGGAACCTATTTTAACATGAGCATAGCCATCTATCCCCCATGAACATCCCCAAGAGTTCCATAAAATCCAGTAGGGGATGGTACCGGTAAAATAACCTAAGTAAGCCTTTACGTCAGCCACACAGAACAAAGACAATAATTACATCTTCAGCAGAGCCTCATTCTTGTAGTGCAAGGATGTGCCAACTTATTGTCTTCCTTGAAACTGCATATTAAGTTTGCACTAAATGCAGAGACACAAAGTACAAAAGGACCGAGTATGTACCACAATACAAAGGCTAGATCAATGGAGATTCAGCAAAGAAAGGTTCACAACCTAAATTTAATCTCGTGTGCAATACTGGTAGCAATTGTGTACATGAGTTGCGCATACTGCTGACCCAGCTAATGAGAGAACACATGTCCAGAGCCCCTATTCTGAACTCCTTAGGAGAACACCAGGCCAACTGCAGAAACTAAGGCAGATAAGCCTGCTCAGACCCCTCACCAAGTACAGAGAAAGACAGTTCCTCACACAAAAGCATACTGTGAATCCAGGAGCTACAACAGACCTGCATGTCTCCTTGAAACTTTACCCAATAGAGTACATTCAAGCTGTTATGTTTTTTTAAAAAAGCTTTCAGAGTTTAGGCTGCAGGTCTAAAATGTAAACTGTATTTTGTTGTGTCTTGAAGAATCTTTTGGCTTAGTGACTGAATGCACACATTTTTTTTAAAAAAAAATATTCTAATTGTTACCATTTTTAACCTGTGAGAATACTTATTTGGATGGAAACCAATACCAGTGACATCAGGACTTCCTTCTGAGTCAAATGACATGGACCTGAACTGATGTATAATAATTGTTAAAGAGTAGCAGAAGGAATGTTACCTGTTGTATCAAAGCCAGTAATGAGCACAGCATGATTTGCTTCTCCACTGGAACAGTGGTACTATATGACACCACCCAAGTAATCATGCCAGCTAACCGTATCTATAATTGCCACCAAAGGCCCCCATTTAACAAGTATGTTCATCATTTTTTCTTCATGTCCACTGCAAGACAAAGAAACATGCCCTAATAATCAGAAAGTTATCTAGCATCAAATTAGACTAAAACAGTCAAGCCCCAGGCAGCCTGGCTGGAGAGGAGACAACCCTTTGAGTTACCTATCCATTGGGTGAGGGATTACCCATCACTCACCTATTTTGGCAGGCCAAGAAGTTCCTGTATTATTGTATGCAGATGATGCAGCCTTGTTATCCAGATCTGAAGTTGGCCTTCAGAAAACAATTAATGCTTTCTCTGAGTATTGCAGTCAAGAGGGGCTCACGGTAAATTACAAAACAAAATACAAAATCATAGTTTTTACTAAGAAGTTAAACTATAAATGTAAAGTATGGAAAACTAAAGATGGGGAAATGGAATTGACAACTCATTTTAAATATTTGGGAGTGGACTTCTCCAAGAATTTATCATGGAAACATCTTAATTTAGCCCAAGATACTGTTAGACCAAATGTCAATGCACTTTTGAGATACTATTACTCTACAGGTGGCCAGTATAGCCCTATGGCTATTAAAGCATTTAACACAAAAATAATACATCAGTTCCTATATGGGGCAGCCATTTGGATCTGTGCAGTTTCTAAATCCTTAGACAAAATATTAACCCAATTCCTGCGTTGAATTTTAGGAGTCCCCAAGTGCGTAGTGGGAGCTGTTCTTAGGCGGGAGCTAGCACAATGCTCCCTAGAACTTAGAGCTTGGTTGGCTGCTTTCAGATTAAGACTGAAGGTTTGCTTTTCTAGTCCATCGTCAGGGAGTTTGATTTACAGACTAAAGGAGGATAATTATAGAAATACCTGGTTAAATCAAATAGACAAGAAACTGAACCTCCTTGGCCTCCCAACTCCATATTCAGAAAGACTTTGTACCTGCGCTTCTGGTGAGATTGAGACACTGACACATCTCCTTTTGTTTTGTTCTCATTGGTTAGCTCTTAGGTCATATTGGGTATATCCAATTTTATCTAAATACCATCTTCCACTGGAGCTATGGGTGGTCTCTTATCTGCTGAAAGATACTGACCCGACAACCACCACTTCAGTAGCAAAATACTTAGCCATTATAATAGCATTGAAGCATAAATAATTGCTGCTAAGGGGAGGTGTGCAGTTTTTGGTTCTAATTATTTTCAATTTTTTCAATTTTGTGACTGCAATGTCTTATAGTTTTATATTTTAAACCTTTATACAGTTTATATTTTATTTGGATGTGAAATGTTAGCAGTTTTAAACTCTTACATTGGTATTTTACATGTTTGCTGTATTCTGTGGGTGCGCTTCAGACCATTGGTCATGTGAGCTAAATAAATAAATTGAAATTGAAAAACAATTGGGTGAGGGATTATTTGCTGGATGAGGCAAAATGCTGTCTGTGTATGCAAAAGATCAGGGGATCTCTTGACCATGTGATAATAAAACCAGGTAAAATTAGCTGTGACTACTGAAATGGTTACATCAAAGCTGCTGCAATAAACCAGATAATGTGGACAGGCTTGACTTGACTTGAAAGCACTACTGAAGGCAGCTGTGTACTTGTGCAGAGACTAATGCAAGCTTCCCGCCCAGCTATACACATGAAACCC